CAACAGCTTGGGTGGGCCTGAAAGTTGGGTGGGGCGGGGCCTCAAGGAGTCAGCAGGGTGGGGCTACCAGTGTGAGCCAGGTTGCTGGAGTCCCAGATATGGCGGCTGTCTGCCGCCCCAGGGAAGGGCTCACCAAAGGAACAAAGGCCTCTGACAGCATGTCTGTCCTGGAGAAAGCCCCCTCTCCAGCCCTCGCTTCAGTGCCAAACAGTTCAGTTCTTCCCTGTATGTCTCTGGTGCCCCTTGAGCTGCCTCCCCTCCGAGCTTAGAGGGAGTGAGTCCGATAAGTCCGTGCGCGGGCCCTTTAAGGAGCTGCCTGGGGCTCCAGCCGCCTCAGCCTCCCTGAGCCTCAGTTCCCGCTGGTTTTCCAGGCAGAAGTTATGGAGATTCTCTTCCTGGCACTGGGACCCTGAGCGGGGCACCTGGTGTGGGACGGGGACCCCTCAGTCCTCAGGGAGGACTTTCCCAGCCGAGGTGTCCTCCTGATTTTTATCCGCCACACGTGGGTGTGGGACCAGCCCGTCCGCCTCCGCCCCTCCTACCAGTCTCCATGTGGCTGCTGCTTTAATTCCGTAGTTGTAGGACTTCCATTCAGCTCGATTTCAGGCGGTTTTGAATGATGGTTGTTCTGTAGTTTAGTTGTAACTTTGATGTGGTTGTGGGAGGACGCGATTCCGCCTTTACCTACCCGCCATCCTGACCGAAGTCTCGATTTGTTATGTTTTTAATGTCCAAGGTCACTTAGTTATTATTTGTTTGACATGAGAAGAAAACAGCATGTAACCCTTGCTTCATAAATGCAGTATCTTCTGAAAATTTACTCAAACTTCTGTTTCTCTTCATTGTTAGTTGAATAGGTTTGCATAACTGTTTTTCATTTGTTATTACTTTGGTTTCTAACTTTCCAGTTCAATGTGTCCCTGGTCAGCCCCAACTGTTTTCTTAATATTTAAGAATAAATCACTAGATTTTGGGGTGGTTTATGTCAGAAATTACCACCATAATCAAGTATAACAAACAAGAACAACTGTGTTTATTGACAGTTGAAGGCTGACTTGAATCTGTCAGCCTGGTTAGCCGGTGGACTATTCGGTTTTATTCTAAGGTGACTGGGTGAGAAACTGGCCTTCCTAGATGCCATTCCTGCATTTTCTTGGGACCAGATGTTCTCAGGGATGGGTCTTCAGCCTCCTCCCGGGTGTGACCCTGCCTGCAGGTAGGAGAGGTGGGCCCAGCTCCTGACCACGGGCAGCTTTTCTCTCAATCCGTTTCCAGCCTCGTGCCTCTCCCAACCCTTCTTCTGTGCTGGGTGATCCTAAGCCATGAGCCTCTGGTTCACTCTCTTCAGAGAGTAAATCTAGGCCTGTTTCCTGGGGCACGTGGGTGGGGGGTCAGCTGATCACCCACCCTGCGAAGGCTCTGAAGCTGTGTGTCCAGACTTTCAACAACCTTCCTGTTCGCACACCGTGTGTGAACACTGCCTCTTCAGTCCCTGCCAAGATCTGAGGTGCCTAAGTCTCTCAGGGACAAAGTGGCCCCATCTCCATGTGTACCCTTAGCACAGTGAGGTGGCTTCAAACCAAGCACCAGATAAGTGGCCTGCACTTGTCCCCATCCCCCACTTCGTCACCCCCCTTCCCCATCTGGTTCCCAGTGGTCCATCACTCTCTTTGCTCTGAGTTGATACCACTCATTTGCCCCTGCTGTGCTGTTCCTGCAGCTGGGGTCCAGGGGGATGGGCAGGAAGCCCAGCCCTTCCACAGCCCTGCTCACAGGAGGGGAGGGCCACTCGGTTCGTTCTCACAGCTTGATGACGCAGGGCACAGTGTGCCGCACACCCTGCCCTGCGCCTTCCCGGGACCTCCTCAGCGCTGCTTTCCTCCAGGCAACCCTGGATCGCTTCGAATGCTCCAGATCTGCCTGCAGTTCATATTCTGTTGGGATTTTGGAAGAGCTGACACTGGATAAGAATGTCTCTTTTTAGCAACATTAAATGCCTTTTTTTTTTTTATCCTCATCCGAGGACATTTTTCCTTTTTTTTTTGGTTTGGATAGAGTGGAAGGAAGAGAGAGGAAGAGAGAGAGAGAAACATCGATGTGAAAGGGACACATCAAGTGGCTGCCTCCTGCACGACCTCACCCGGGGCCGGGGACAAACTGCAACCGAGGTACGTGCCCTTAGCGGGAACCGCACCCGGGTCTCTCTGGACCGCAGGCCGACGCTCTAACCGCTGAGCCAAACTGGCTAGGGCTTAAATGCCATTTTGTTTCACATATTTTCCCTCTCAGGAAAGTTTTGTGGTTGTCACAGACTCGAGAACATTTTGTGTGAAGGTTGTTTTCAGCTGCTATCAATAGGAAGGTATGGCTGCTGCTGTGAGCTGAGTCTCGACTGTTGTGGCATCTCATTGTTACTACTGAGATAAAATGAGTCTTTTCTTCTCTCTCTCCCTTCGTGTGTAAGAGATTTATCTTCCATCTAGACACCTTGGGAAACCTCGTCTTAAAACCTTTTCAGTTGAGGCTTTGTCTTTTCTGGGAAGAAGACCGTGTTATCTGCCGATGATAGTCATGAGACTTTCCCCACGACACCCTCAAACCCCTTGTGTCTGTTTCCGGTGGATCTGCTCGTAATGCTCAGATGCTGGCTCTGTCCCCAGGCCTGGCGCAGCTGGTTATTGCCCAATCTGGTGCCCAGGGACGGGAAGTCTGGGTCCAGTATCAGACTAGGCGTTGGGGCCTGTGGCTTCTCCCTGATACCACTGTGACTTGACTTCTTGTTATCTGGGGCCTGGGAATCAGCCCCGAACCCACATCCACTGTTGAGGGTGGGTGAAGGTCAGGGGTCTGCACAGACCCTCGGCAGAAAGGAGGGGTGGAAGCCCCCTTACCACTCAAAGGTCTCGGCCCCTGGCCTGTAGGACTTGCTGGTCTGTGAGCCCAGCCCCTCCCCTCTTGGATGCTCACGCCCCCCACCCCGATGGGCCCCCTGGCCTTGGTGGATCATGTTGTTTCCTGTAGAGATCCCGAGTGTCTCCTGAGGATTCCGAGTGCCCCCAGAGACACCAAAATCTCAGCAAGGATGACAGTGACTCTGGCCCCGAGGGGGAATGATGGGTTTCCAGAGACCTGAGCTCATCTGAGCGCTGCTCCTTGCCAGCCTCCTTGCTGGGCTCACGGGGGGCGTGGTTCAGTAGTGTGGGCCCCTCCTCCTTACCTTGCTTCTCTCAAACCATCGTCTGGTCCTATCCCACGCTTGGTGGAGAATGAGTCACAGAGTGTCAAAGGATGGCAAATTCTGTCCCTGGCTGGGTGGCCGGCCTCTGCCTGGGGTTGGACTTGAGGGTCAGAGTTCCTCCATTCAGAGAGCGGGAGTGTGAGGGGGAGGTTGGCTCCCAGCACCGTACGGGGGGCTCGGGGACTCGGGGGCTCGGGGAGTGTGCCGGAGTCGCCCCTGGGTGTGAGGAGGAGTGATGAGAACTGGCACCTCTCTCATCCTTTCCTGTGCGTTTGGACAAAGCTGGATCTTGCACACGATGTGTTAGGACAGTTGAGCACGTGTGCGTGAGTGTCCTGGGGCAGCCGTGACAAAGAGAGAGTGGCGGCCTTTCAACAGCAGAAACGATTCTGCCATAGTGCCGGGGGCCGGAAGTCTAACATCAAGGTGTCAGCAGGTCCCACTCCCTCCAAAGGCTCAGAGAAAGACCCTTCCTGCCTCCTCCAACTTATGGTGTTGCTGGCAAACTTTGTCTCCAGGTCCAGCGAGTCTGTCCTTTTCTGAGGACGACGAGTGCCTCACAAAAAGAGGGGAGCATTGACACTACGGGACCTGATGTGCTCCTGTCGCCCCGTCTTGGCTCAGGTGCAAGGCCCGCATTCCATTCATGCCCTTGCTCTGTTTTATTTGTTTCAGATCATCTTATTTATATATTTATTTATTTATTTATTTATTTGTGGTACGTGCCCCTAGCAGGAACCAAACCCGGGCCTCTCTGGTCCACAGGCCGACACTCAACCGCTGAGCCAAACAGGCCAGGGCTATATTTATTTATTTTAATCTTCACCCAAGAATATGGTTATTGATTTTAGAGAGAAAAAGAGAGAGAGAGAAACATCGATTGGTTGCCTCTTGTATGCGCACCAACCGGAAACTGAACCCTCAACATAGGTATGTGCCCTGACCGGGAATCAAACCTGTGACATTTTGGTGTATGAGATGACACAGAACATCTTATTATTATTATTATTATTATTATTTACTTAAAAAAAAATCCTCACCCGAGGATATTTTTTTCACTGATTTTTAGATAGAGTGAAAGGGAGAGAGACAGATCTATTGGTTGCTTCCCACATGACCCCCAGCAGGGCCAGGGATCAAACCTGCAACCCAGGTACATACTCTTGACCGGGAATTGAACCCATGACCCTCTGGTCCATAGGCTGATGCTCTAACTGCTGAGCTAAACCAGCCAGGGCTATTATTATTATTTTTAAATCCTCACCCAAGGATATTTTCTCATTGCTTTCTAAATAGAATGGAAGTGAGGGAAGGAGAGAGAGAGAAACATCAATGTGAGAGAGACACCATAATTGGTTGCTTCCCTCGTGACCCTGACCAGAGTTGGGGATCACACCCACAACCTAGGTATGTGCCTTTGACCGGGAATCAAACCCTCAACCGTTTGGTTTGTGGGCCAGCGCCCTAACCGCTGAGCCAAACCAGTCAGGGAAGGAGCATCTTATTTATTTTCCGTGTGTATACTGTCCATTTCAGAACCATTGTGTCTGCAGCACGAGTTCTCCGCCAGGCTCAGAGAAGACTCAATATTTCTTGTTTGACAGATGGTCTGTTGGTCACCGCTGGTCCCAGTGAAGGGATAAGCCCTGCCTCCTCCCATGCCCCACCCCAAAGGAGGGCAGGCTTCCCCTTTGCCCAGTTTCTGGGCAGGGAGGGTAAAGGAGCTCAGAGGGGCCCAGGAGCAGAAGGCAGAGTGACCGGCATGGTGAGGATGCTGCTCAAACACCTGTCCTCTCCCTTCCCAGGCCCCAGTGTCCCTGCCCCAGATCTCCTCACTCTGGTCTCCTCTCTTCACCTGCAGATGCTGTGGCTGCTGTTCCTGACCCTCCCCTGCCTGGGGGACTCTGTGCCCGTGACCTCAGGTGAGTCCTGACCCCTGAGCCTGGCCTGTCTCCAAACCCCTGACTGATCTCTCAGAGGCCAGCCCTGGGATTCGGTGGTCCCCACATGAGGATGGCCCTGGGGAGGGACCGAGTGTTAGGGCTGAGTTGAGTTCCAGGCAGGGACGCCTGGTCCCTGACTCCCCTCCTCTGCTTCCCTAGATCCCAGCCCAGGGACTGAGCTGGTGGGCATCCTAGGGGGGCATGATGCCCCCGCTGGCAAGTGGCCGTGGCAGGTGGGTCTGTGGTATTTTGATCTAAATTTCCAGTGGAGGTTAATTTGTGGGGGCTCCCTCATCCACCCCCAGTGGGTGCTGACCGCGGCCCACTGCGTTGGAAGGTAAGTCCCCACCCTGCCAGCACCTGGGGGGTGGAGAATGTCCAGAGGCCTGTGATGTGTGTTGTGGGCAGTGCCTGGGCTGGATGGCTGCAGGCGCCCTGCCAGGATTCAGCTTCCTGGAGTCCCCCTGGCCCAGCACAGAGGGGGGTCCCTGGGCTCCGAGGGGCTGCCCCCTTCCTGCTCTTCTGCTGCAGCCTCTTAGAAGTGTCTGGTCTTCTGTCCCCCAGGAAAAACTTAGCACCTTGGCACTTTCAGGTCCAAGTAGGACAAGTGAGACTCTCGAACTTGGGCTATGTGCAGGTGGCTGAGGTCATCATCCACCCGGGCTACAACTTTGCAGAGGGAGCGCTAGGTGGGGCGGATGTGGCGCTCCTCAGACTAACGCACCGCGTGACACGGTCTGACAGAGTCGACTGGATCACCCTCCCATCAGAGTCACTCACAGTCCCCCCAGGCACCATGTGCTGGGTGACCGGCTGGGGTGACACTGGTGCCGAAGGTAAGAATCAGGATGACGAGTTGGAATGAGAAAAGGAGACTGAGGGACAGAGACCGTGGGCGTTGGCCAAGCCTTACAGAAGAGGTCTCAGCTGGGGTCCCTCCTGGGGTCTCCCTTGGGTGTCAGAGGCAGATGGCTGCAGAGGACTCCGTTAAGGAGCAGAGACCAGAGTAGCGAGAGCAAGGCCAGGTCATGGGCATTTCTTCGCCCTCGCTCTGCACCAGGCCCTGTGCTGTTACGTGGGCCCTGCTCTCCCTGCGTCTTCGTGGCGGGGTGGAAACGAGCAGAGGAACTTGAGCGACTTGCTCAGTATTCACTGTTGAATGGACAAAGTCAGATTTGACAGTAGGTCAACTCACTCTGCATTTCTTGAGGGGGAAAAAGCACCTGCTCCAATTTTTACAATAAAAATTATTTGTGAGTAAAAATCCATCTATTTCTCTGTTTCTTTTCGGAGCTTCATGCCCACAGTGTCAGCCTAGAGATTATCAACCCACTGGCCTGGAATGAACCCGAAGAGTTGGGGTCTTGGGTAACTCCCAGGTCCCCCTGGGGGCACTGAAGCTCAGCTTGTGGTTCTAGAGCCCATGACCTGTGACCGCATGCCCCCTCAGGACCACAGGCTCACTTGGCTTCTTCTCACAGAGTCGCCCCAGCATCTGCAGGAATTAGAGGTCCCCATCGTGGCAGATGACACCTGTAAGCAGCAATACTCCAGGATCAATCATTTTATCAAGGAGGACATGCTGTGTGCGGGGAGCAAGGGCCAGGGCATCTGCAGGGTGAGACACCTTCGTAGACAGTGGCCTCCGTCCATTGCTCCTGCCTGCAGGGACTCTGCGCTTGACCATCTGTCTCTTCTTCCCGCAGGGTGACTCTGGGGGTCCCTTGGTCTGTAAATGGATGGGCACCTGGTTCCAGGTAGGGGTGGTGAGTTGGGGAGAGAGGCCGTGCAGTGATATCAACCTTCCTGGAGTCTATGCCCGAGTGACATGCTTCTTGTCCTGGATTCACGACTACATCGATTCCTCTCCTGAGCCCAGGGCAGGGACAAGGATGTTGCTGCATGGGACAAAGACAGGCCCTTCGGCTGTTCACAGCTCCTTCCCTGACGCCAGCTCTTCATTGCAGGGAGCGTCCTCCTCCACCCCCCTGCTCTGAGACCCTCCTGCCTCCACACCTCCTTCGATACCCTGCCTCTCCCCTGCCTCCCCCCCTCTCCCCCGCCTCTCCCCCGCCTCTCCCCTGCCTCTCCCCTGCCTCCCCCCTCCCCCGCCTCTCCCCCGCCTCTCCCCGCGAGGTGGAAGGGAGAGGTGGGACTGTGCTCGGAAGTCGGGTGGGGGTGGGGGGAGCATTCCAGGACTCCTGCCTCCTGCCCACTCTGTAGCTCATTAAACTGCATGAAAAAACTGCTCTGGTCTGAGTGTACTTACCTGTGGGTGTGGCCAAGCAGCCGGAAGGTGGGATCTTCCGGTGGGGGCACCCAGGTGGCGGTGAGCCAGGCTATGGCAGGAGGGCAGTGGAGTGTGGTGGGGAGGCGACTCTGACTGCAGCATGGAAGAGGGCAACTTGGGTGGGTTCTCTTGACGGGGTGGAGGGAGTTTTCTGCCTGGAGCTGAAACCAGAGGTCGGCTCCCAGAACAGCCGGACATCCGATCACGCTTCCTCCTTCCTTGCAGTCAGTATTTAATTGGTGTTTTGAATGACGGACTTGGCAGCCTAAACGCAGAAAGTATTGCTTTTCCATGGTCACCATTGGTCTTCTGACCTGGCACACCTAATCCTCATTCTCCACTGTGGTCAACTTCTTGGACCAAATAAAGTACAGTCTTATTTTTAGGGGTGAAAAAGTTCATCTGCTCCAACGCAGAATTTCAGGCTCTCATTCTGAGCTTCCCCTGAGCAGGGAGAAGCCGCAGGGGCCAGGGACAAGCGGTTCCCTTTCTTCCCATCCTGAGCCCTCCCTCTCCTCCGCTCCTGAGTCCTCACTGGTTGGAGGCGCCAGAGAGCAGAGCTGATGCCTTCTTCTGGGGTTGGTACCCCTGCCGGAGAACCTCGCTGTGTTGTCCTCTCTGCAAAGCTCGTCTCTTCCTCCTGTGGGTGGGATGAGGGTTCCAGGGACCAGAGAAATGTCTCTGTTTCAAACCTAGGAAGTGAGAAGTCAGCTGTGAAACCTCTTCCTGCCCCGAGGCAGTGATGTACGTGCTCCTGCTGAATCAGTCTTTGGGGGAAATTGCTGGTGAACGGCCGGGGTGGGTTCCTGCACCTGCGGGTTGGGACCAGGACCTAAGAGAACCCTTGGAGCCTGACGCAGCCCTGTTTTGTGTGGGTGAGAGGCCCCATATCCTTCAGAGACAGGCTGGTCCCCAGAGTCTGATTTCTAAACCGTGGTGGCAGCCTTGGGCACCTTTCAGTGACTAAGGCCTCTGCCCCCTGGGGACAGGTGAGAACACTCCTCTTCTCTGACCTGGGTGCCCGGGGGAGGTCTGGACTCTGGAGTTAGGGAGAATCAAGGCTCCAGGGTGGGTGGCTCAGGAGCTGCTCCCCCCACGTGCCCAGGGACTGAAGCCTGGGTTTCCCGGGAGCCACGAGCTCTCTAGGAAATCCTTCTCCAGGGAAAATGCGGCCTGAGACTCAGCTGGAAGGCGCCGCTGTGCAGATGGGCCTGCCAGGGGGTCTGCCTGGCGCTGCCCCTCCGTGTTCCAGGCGCCTTCTGCCTGAGCGACTGCCCTGTTGATGGCTGGTTGATGGGTGGCTGCCACGTGAGCCACATCTATCTGTTTCGCCCTCTGCCTGCCAGGAGGGCTGTTTGTGTGCCTGCCTCGCCACTGGGTTCCTTGGAATTGCAAATCCCTCCGTAGCCAGTGAAAGGGTTTTCCTTCGTTGGTGAGGGGTGTAGTCAGAGCTTCAGTGTTTTCAAGATTAAGAATGAGGGTCCGAGGGACTCAGGGGCCAGCGCTCCCCAGGGAGGGAGGAGGAGCCTAGGATCAGGTGTTGGAGGGAGGGCTGGAGTCAGACAAGCCTGAGCCTGGGGCTGCGTCTGCAGGCCTGGCTGCAGGGCGGGCACAGGGCACTCTTCTGAGAGTAGGCACCTTGGCTGGAATCTCCCCCACCTTGGCTGGAATCACCACCAGAGCACCTCACTTCCTGGGCTCAGCAGTAGCAGGGTGAGCTGAGCCAGGATGCCTGGGCTGGAGATGGAGCTGGGGACAGGCGTGCTGCCTTTGGTCTTTTCTAACTGAGCCCTGCCCTGGCAGAGGTGGGTGCTGGGGGCACTGAACTGCCAGGGCTTTGTTCTCCCAAACAGACCCTCCAGGGCCAGGTCAGTGCCCATGGGGACTCTGTTAGGGGCCCACAGGTGTCAGCCTCTTCCCCTTGTGTGAGGTGAGCAAGACACACCTTCAGGGCTTGGAACGGAGATTCTATCTAGGTCCCTTCCCTCCAGGGGGGAAGACACACCTCAGTCACTATCGGGCTCTCTCACCTGTGGTAGTGTCCTGAGGTCACAGTGACAAAAGCCCATAGACTGGCCGTGTGGGGCTTAAAACAACACACATTCGTTTCCCTTACTGTCTGGAGGCCAGAAGCCGGAAATCCGGTTGTCCTGGGGCCACGTCTCTTCCTTTCCAGCTTCTGGTGGTGCTGGTGACCCTTGTCCCATGGACCAGCCACTCTCATCTCCGCGCCCCCCACCCCCGCCCCTGTCTCCTCCGTCTCTGCATCCTCACCTCTTCTCACAAGGACACCATCACTGAGTCTGGGGCCTTCCCACTCCAGGCTGACCTCATCTTAACTGGGCACGTCTGCACTGACCCGATTGCCAAGTAAGGTCGGGCTCTGAGGTTCCGGACCTCCCTGACCCACACTGATCTACCTCACTGGCGAGACTATGTGCTGATCAGGCTGTGTGCTCCTGACGGGGAGACTGAACCTGAAGAGGTACAGGGGCTTGTCACCTTAAAGATTTGGGAGTCCCATGTCAAGCATACAGGGACACTCCCTTCAAAATAACAGATGAGCGAGGACCCGGCCCCTCTCGCGGGAAGAGCGGTCTCCACACCGCAGAGTGCTGCTCCAGCCTGGGAAGCTGCTGGCACAAAGGGCTGCCGGCTCTGAGTGGCCCAGTGCTAGGAAGGGCTCTGCTGCAGGCCAGGCGGTCACTTGCACCGCAGGACACAGCAAGCCCCGGGGAGTGACAACATAGGACCATGCAACCTACACCAGGGAATAGGGTTGAGATGTGTCACAGCTGGTGTCTGGGCACACTGAGTTCCTTGTGTCCAGAGGCCATTGTGCAAGAAAAAGTGCCCCCACCTTGGTAGGGACAATGACACTGACCACCAGGAAGAGGAAGGGGCTGCTGTGTCACAATGGGGGGCAGGGAAGATGAGAGGCACTTGCGTGTCCCTTGGTGCCCCCACATCAATTGTGATGGCAGATGGGCAAGTGCAGCTACCCAGCCGAAGAAACCCTTGTGAGCTGGGATGGGGTCTGGGTCCTGCTACTGGGTAAGTCCCAGAGCCCACAGTTAGTAGCAAAGGGGCCAGTAAGTGGACAGAGGAGGGGGCTCTGTTGGCCTCAGTCGTACTCTGAGCCTCTCCTTCCGAGCTTTCCCGGGCAGACACTCTGCTGTCCTGCAGCAGCTGTCCCCAGCACATGGGGAGGGGGGCTGTGCCGGACACAGAGATGGGCCTCCAGGTCCCCCTGCGTGGCAGGACTCGATGGACAGTGTCTGGTAGGGCTGGCAGCTCCTTCTGGTTCCTCACCCCGTCAGGTCCCTCTTGGTTAAGGCAGGAAGATGTGAAGGCTGGCATTTTGTCCCAGTGAGGGCCGTGGACCCTGGGTGTCCCCGAGGCCGGTCCAGGTGTTGTCAGCTCAGCATTATGCTCCAGCCTCTCCCTCTGCCCAGCTCTGCTCCATCCGCCTGCCTTCCAGATGTGTCACCCCGATGTGTACCCTGCATGAAACACTGTGTCTTGATGCCAGCTTCTGGGGAGTTCAACCTGCAGCGAGGACAGTGTGCCATGTTCCTCAGCTGGCGGCAGTGAGGGTGACCACAGACCACGTGCCAGGCAGGTGGTGGCAGTGAGGGTGGCCACAGACCACGTGCCAAGCAGGTGGCAGCAGTGAGGTGGCCACAGACCACATGCCAGGCAGGTGGTGGCAGTGAGGGTGGCCACAGACCACATGCCAAGCAGGTGGCAGCAGTGAGGTGGCCACAGACCACATGCCAAGCAGGTGGCAGCAGTGAGGTGGCCACAGACCACGTGCCAAGCAGGTGGCAGCAGTGAGGTGGCCACAGACCACATGCCAGGCAGGTGGCGGCAGTGAGGGTGGCCACAGACCACGTGCCAAGCAGGTGGCAGCAGTGAGGTGGCCACAGACCACATGCCAGGCAGGTGGTGGCAGTGAGGTGGCCACAGACCACGTGCCAGGCAGGTGGCGGCAGTGAAGGTAGCAGCCTGCAGAGGTCTAGTCCGACGGCGGCGTGTCCAAGGGCCTGAGAAAGGAGCCGCTTCACTTCCTGCCCATAGCCCAACGGGACTGACCCCACCAGCTCCGCCTGTGTCAGGGGTTCAGGGGCTCAGGGAGGCCTAAGGGGGTCCATCAAGGTGAGGAAGCCCCTGCTCAGACCCCGGCTTCTCCATCCCGACACCGGGGTCCTGGCCCCTGGTGGTCTCACCCAGGTCCCTGCCCACCCCCACAGATGCTGTGGCTGCTGTTCTTGACTGTCCCAGGCCTGGGGGGCTCCATGCCCTTGTTCCCAGGTGAGTCCTGACTCCCTGTCCCCATCTTCTGCCTCAAGCTGCCCAGGCCTCTCAGCATCAGCTCAGGGTGGACTGACTGATGGTTCACTCCTGGGAGGGACGGAGCACAAGAGGCCGTGTCAGGGTCTATGATGGCGCCCCCTCTTGTTTCCCAGATCCCAGCTCCGGAAGTCAGCAAGGTGGCAATTCGGGGATGCACAGTGCCCCCACTGGGCGATGGCCTTGGCAGGTCAGCCTCCGACAGTACAATAAGGCGCTTGAGCTGTGGCAGCACGTATGTGGGGGCTCCCTCATCCACCACCAGTGGGTGCTGACTGCTGCCCACTGCACCCATCGGTGAGCCATGCAGCCCGACGCCCTCTTGGCAGAGGTGGGGGGGGGCACACAGAGGGGTGATTGGAGGTGGGTTGTGGGCAGGGCCCTGGGTCTCAGGGAAAGCCACTGTGAGTGGCAGCCCCATCCCTGCCGTTGTGCCGAGACTGGTCCTGGCCCCCAGTCTCCTCTGAGAAGCCCCTGGTCCCTCTCCTCCAGGGAGGACTTGGAGGTTTATGGCTTCAGGGTCCAAGTTGGGCGGCTGAGACTCTATGACCATGACAAACTGATAAAAGTCACTCAGATCATCCGCCACCCCAAGTTCAACCAGAGCCTGTCTGCCCAGGGCGGAGCAGACATTGCCCTGCTGAAACTGGAGACCCCTGTGACACTCTCCAGGCTCGTCAGCCCGGTCACCCTCCCACCTGCCTCTCTGAAGGTCCCTGAGAGGAAGATGTGCTGGGTGACCGGCTGGGGCTACGTCAGACTCGGAGGTAAGCTCAGAGAGACCTGGCGGGGTGTGTGGAGGTTCAGGGCGGCCTGCTGGAGGTATGGTTGTGGCTTTGCTGAAAATACTTTATTCTCTGCAATTTGGGGGAATCCTCTACCTTTTTTTAATTTTTAATTTTTTTTTTGTTACAGATGTTTCTCCTTTTTTACCCCATTGACACCCTCCTCCCCATCCCCCCCCCCCGCCCCGTCCCCGGCTTTGTTGTCTATGTCCATTGGTCATGCATACATGCATATAAGTTCTGTGGTTTATCTCTTCCCACCCTCCCACCCCCTCTTCTGAGGGATGTCAGTCTGTGCCCTACTTCCATGTTTCTGGGTCTACCGTATTCCTCAGACTGTTATGTTCATCATATTCCGTACATAAGTGAGATCATGTGGTATTTGTCTTTTTCTGCTTGGCTTGTTTCATTTAGGATGATACTTTCCAGGTCCTTCCATGTCGTCTCAAAGGATAAGAGATCTTTCTTTCTTACAGCTGCATAGTACTCCATTGTGTATATGTACCACCACTTTTTTTATCCATTTGTCTACTGATGGACACTTGGGCTGTTTCCAGATCTTAGCTATTGTAAATAGTGCTGCTATGAACATGGGGGTACATATATTCTTCCTGATTGGTATTTCAGGCTTCTTAGGGTATATTCGTAGAAGTGGGATCACTGGGTCAAATGGAAGTTCAATTTTTAATTTTTTGAGGTAACACCATATGGTTTTCCATAGTGGCTGCACCAGTCTGCATTCCCACCAGCAGTGTACTAGAGTCCCCTTTTCTCCACACCCTCGCCAACACTTGTTGTTTGATGATTTGTTGATGGCGGCCATTCTGACAGGTGTGAGGTGATGCCTCATTGTTGTTTTAATTTGCATCTCTCTGATGATTAGTGATGTTGAGCATTTCTTCATATGTCTCTTGACCATTTGTATGTCCTGTTTGGAGAGGTGTCTATTCAGCTCCTCTGCCCATTTTTTAATTGGGTTCTTTGTCTTCCTTTTGTTGAGTTGTATGAGCACTTTATATATATTGGAAATTAATCCCTTATCTGATGTATCGTTGATAATGATGTTCTCCCATACAGTGGGTTGCCTTTCCATCCTCTACCTTTTATTGTGGCAAAATACACATAACAAAAATTTACCATTTAAATCGTTGTTGTTTTTTAATCCTTAACTGAGGATATTTTTCCATTGATTCTTCAGATAGAGTGGAAGGGAGGGAGAGAGAGAGAGAGAGACAGAGAGAAACAGAGAGAAAGAGAGAAATGTCCATGTGGGAGAGACACATCGATTGGTTGCCTCCCACACGACCCCAACCAGTGCCAGGGATAGAACTGCAACTGAGACATGTGCCCTTGACCGGGATAGAACCCCTGAGTCTTTGGTCTGCGGGCTGATGCTCTAACCACTGAGAAAACCAGCCAGAGCTCCATTTAAACCGTTGTTAAGTGCACAGTCCAGTGGTATTAAGCACATTCATAATGTTGTGCAACCCTCACCACCATCTATCCATAGAACTTTCTCATCCTCAAACAGAAGCTTTGTCCCCATTAAACAATAATGCCCCTTCCCCAGGCCCTGGCAACCATGAACCTACTTTCTGTTTCTATGGATTTATCTGTTCTGGACATTTCATATAAATGTAAATCATACAATGTGTTGTGTGTGTGTGTCTTCTTTCACTTAGCATGATGTTTTCAAGTTTCAGCTACATTATAGCATGTGTCAGAACTTCATTCCTTCTTACGGCCAAGTAATATTCCAATGTATGGATGGAACGTTTTGTTGATCCGTTCCTGAACGCTAGACTGTTTCTACCTGTTGGCTGTTGTGAATCATGCTGCTGTGAACCTGTGTGTTCAAGCACCTGTTAGAGTACCTCTTTCAATTCTTTTTTAAGATTTTTATTTTTTATTTTTTAATTTTTTAAAAAAATCTTTATTGTTGGATGTAAAATGTATTATAGACGTTCCACATTTTTCCCCCATTGACCCCCTCCTCCCCATTCCTGCCCCCCTCCCGCCTTTTCCCACACTATTGTCTGTGTCCATTGGTTATGCATATAAGTTCTTTGGTTTATTTCTTCCCACCCCCCCCAACCCCTTTCCCTTTGAGGTTTGTCAGTCTAGCAATGAATTTGTACTTCTTAATTCCTTCACCTTTTTCACCCATTCCCCCAACCCCCCTCCCAACTGGCAACCAACAAAATGTTCTCTGTATCTATGAGAATGTTTCTGTTCTACCTGCTCATTTTGTTTGTAGATTCCATTGTTGATAGGTATGTATTCATTGCCATTTTGTTTGTTCATATATTTTATCTTTTTCTTCAAAAAGACCCTTCATCATTTCATATAATAATGGTTTGGTGGTGATGAACTCCTTTAACTTTTTCTTGTCTGGGAAAGTTTTTATATGGCCATCGATTCTAAATGACAGCTTTGCAGGATAGAGTAATCTTGGTTGTAGGTTCTTGCTTTTCATCACTCTGAATATCTCTTGCCACTCCCTTCTGGCCTGCAAAGTTTCTTTTGAGAAATCAGCTGACAGCCTAATGGGAACTCCCTTGTAGGTAACTAGCTGCCTTTCTCTTGCTGCTTTTAAGATTCTCTCTTTGTCTTGAACAATTTGCATTTTGATGATGATGTGTCTTGGGGTGGGCCTCTTGGGGTTCATCTTGTTTGGGACTCGAGGTGCTTCTTGAACTTGTATGTCTGTTTCCTTCACCAAGTTAGGAAAGTTTTCTGCCATTATTGTTTCAAACAGGTTTTCAATTTCTTGTTCTCGCTCTTTTCCTTCTGGCACCCCCAAGATGCGAATATTGGCACGCTTGAAGTTGTCCCAGAGGGTCCTTACACTATCCTCATTTTTTTGGATTCTTTTTTCTTTTTGCTGTTCTGATTGGGCATTTTTTGTTTCCTTATATTCCAAATCGATGGTTTGCTCCTTGGATTTACGTACTCTATTATTGAAGCTGTGTAAATTATTCTTTATTTCAGTTAATGCCTCCTTCAATTCTAACTGTGTATCCATGATTTCTGACTGGTTCTTTTTTATGCTCTTGAGGCCCTCCCTAAGTTCACTGAGGTTCTCACTAAGTTCATTGAGCATCCTTATAAGCAGTACTTTGAACTCAGTATCTGTTAGGTTGCTTAATTCCATTTTGCTTAGTTCTTTTCTTGGGGTTTTGTTCTGTTCTTTCATTTGGGACCTGTTTCTTTGTCTCCTCATTTTGGCTGCCTCCCTGTGTTTGTTTCTGTGTATTACTTAATGAGAGGTATGAGGCTAGCTGAGACCAGATGCTGCTCATGTGAAAGAATTTAGGAAAAACCTGAAGCAGGATCCAAGACAGGCCAATCCTATGGTTAAGCAAGTGGCAACAGCTTGGGTGGGCTTGAAAGTTGGGTGGGACAGGGCGGGGCCTCAGGGAGTCAGCAGGGCGGGGCTACCAGTGTGAGCCAGGTTGCTGGAGTCCCAGATATGGCGGCTGTCTGCCGCCCCAGGGAAGGGCTCACCAAAGGAACAAAGGCCTCTTACTGCACGTTTGTCCCGGAGAAAGCCCCCTCTCCAGCCCTCGCTCCAGTGCCAAACAGCTCGGTTCTTCCCTGTATGTCTCTGGTGCCCCTCGAGCTGCCTCCCCTCCAAGCTTAGAGGGAGAGAGTCCGATAAGTCCGTGCGCGGGCCCTTTAAGGAGCTGCCTGGGGCTCCAGCCGCCTCAGCCTCCCTGAGCCTCAGTTCCCGCTGGTTTTCCAGCCAGAAGTGATGGGGATTCTCTTCCTGGCACTGGAACCCTGAGCGGGGCACCTGGTGTGGGACGGGGACCTTCCCAGCCAAGGTGTCCTCCTGATTTTTATCCGCCACACGTGGGTGTGGGACCAGCCCGTCCCCTCCGCCCCTCCTACCCGTCTGGATGTGACTGCTGCTTTAATCCCGTAGTTGTAGGACTTCCATTCAGCTTGATTTCAGGCGGTTTTGAATGATGGTTGTTCTGTAGTTAGGTGTAACTTTGATGTGGTTGTGGGAGGACGCGATACCACTTTTACCTACGCCGCCATCTTGACCGGAAGTTCAAAATTTTTATTTTTTTCAATTACAGTTTACATTCAATACTATTTTCTATTAGTTTCAGGTGTACAGCATAATGGTTAGATAATCACATACTTAAAAACTGTTCTCCTGCCCTGGCCGGTTTGGCTCAGCGGTTAGAGCGTCGGCCTGTGGTCTGGAGAGACCCAGGTTCGGTTCCCCCTAAGGGCACGTACCTCGATTGCAGTTTGTCCCCAGCCCTGGTTGGGTCGTGTGGGTGGTAACCACTCGATGTGTCCCTTTAACGTCGATGTTTCTCTCTTTGTCTCTTCCTCTCTCTCCCTCCTACTCTATCTGAACAAAAAATGAAAAAATGTCCTCAGGTGAGGATTAAAAAAAATAAATAAGTGTACTCCCAATATTTTCAGTACCCACCTGGCACCATACATATTTATTATAATATTACTGACTATATTCCCTATGCTGCATTTTTACATCCCATGACATTTGATTTTTTTTTTTTTTTTTTTTTTTTTTTTTAGAGAGAGTAAGAAAGAGAGAGATAGAAACATTGATGTCAGAGAGAAACATTGATCAGCTGACTCCTGCACTATCTCTACTGGGGATTGAGCCCACAACCCGGGCATGTGCCCTGACCGGGAATCCAACTGGGATCTCTCAGTCCATGGGACAACGCTCAATCCACTGAGTCACATCAGCTAGGCCCAATTTGTATTTCTTAATCCCTTCCTCTTTTTCACTCAGCCCTCCAAACCCTTCCCCTCTGGCAACCATCAGTCTGTTCTCTGTACTTATGAGCCTGTTTCTATTTTGTTTGTATATTTTGTTCTTTAAAATCCACATATAGGTGAAATCATGTGGTATTTGTCTTTCTCTGACTGACTTATTTCACTTAGCGTAACAGTAAGATTTCATTCATTTTTATGGCCGAGTAATATTCCAT